TGGTGATGAGCTTTGTAATCAAAGAGAAGCATTGAAGGCGGCCGCACTACCTTGGGATAACCACATGCTAAATAAATATGATGAAAACTAATTAAAGGCAAGGGATGATGTTTAGCAGCGTTTAGAAGGCCATATCGCCAATGAAAAACAACAAGTAACTCACCGGATCTGTCCTAGTTGGTGTTGTTCTACCGGATGCGTAATAATGGCCACTTAGAGAGGTTTCACTGGCGCAAATAAGTATGTCTGTATCAGGCTGTAGAAAAACGAGATAAAATTAAAGTCAGGCAAGAGTTAGAAAGGGCCCCAACTGGGCTGAAATTATTAGTAGTTGTGCGTAAAAAAAGAAAAATGTTAACTGTTAGTGGTTAAGAAAAAGTTTACTGTTAAACCTTTTCTAACGGTAACGTGCCATTCAGAAAGAGTCGATTGTGTGCTCGCAGGCTGTATGTAATTCGTCCCCGTTTGGCTGTGTAGCCTGCTTCAGCCTTTTTTATCCGGAAAAGATCCTAAGAGAACTACATATTTAAAAGTGAATTTTTGGGACCATTAAATTAACATTTTTTAACTTTTGGAACAACTGATTTTTGTCAGGTTAGTTTCTGTTAACTTCAGTAGAGAAAAAAGTAATTTTTAGCATTAGCAACTAAGACAAATTATTAACCGCTACGGGGAGTGCCTCCAAACCATTGGAACACTCTTAGAAAACAACCTCTGTTTTTTTGAATTTATGGATGCGAGAAATTTGCTCATGACACAACCGTCTTTCATTTCTTCCTTATGCCTGCCTCTACAAATAAGTTAATCCCCAAGATTAAGGTTGCTTACCATTTGGTTATCACCACTGAATCCCACTCCTGCCCAGTTTCCTCTGCCTCTTAGTTCAAAAACTACACTGTTATCACCAGAGGCTTGGTATGTCACAAGAAAATCACAATCGGCATCCGGGCAATTATCTGGAAACCTAAAGCTCCCCTGTCGCATAATGCTGGCCGGCTGAAAAGGGAAAGATCAGAAGTAATATAATGTTTTTTAAATATGATTATGTTATTACGAGGGAGCCGTTTGAAATGTACTGTAGTGGTAGGTAGAACGTACGCTGGTTAAAGGAGTTTTAGGGAAGAATCACCCGCCAGTATAATCCTACGAAATTCATTTAACTCTCCTAATGCATCAGGAAATACTTACAAGTTCATCAGTTTCTTTGCTACAACAAGTAGGATCGAAATAATTTAAGTGATCCTGTGACTGTATCTGAATCATATGATGGCTTTAAAAGAGTCGTGAGTAATTTAGTTATCTCATGCATATTTGTTACAACAAGGATAAAAAATATAAAACTGTTCTAAAGAGGCCTTAAACTGCTGTTAAAATAAGTAAAATCCAAGCTTTCGCCGATCAACGGCATCAAATTTTCCGCGCGCGGTATATAAATGAGGAAAAGGTGTAGGATGAAATTTGTAAAAGATGTGACGTATGTATGGAAGCTATAGAAATAAACTGTGAATGGAATACAAAGCTCTAATGATGGAACGTCTCTAGACATAGGACCTCTAAGGGCCTGTTTACAAGGAGTGGGGGACCCCGGTCTGGTGGGGTGGGTTTCTTTTGTTTTCACGCTCTGGGGGACACAAAACAAAAGAAACCTACCCCACCAGACCGGGGTCCCCCACTCCTTGTAAACAGGGTCTAAAAGCGCTTAAGGATGGCCTCTAAGGGCCTGTTTACATGGAGGTGGGGGACCCCAGGTCAGGTGAGGTAACCCGCTTGGGTGGGGTAACCCGTTTGTCCATATAATCTCTCATTTTAATTTGATCACGTTCAGATGATAGGTGGGGTGACCCGCCATATTTTACCTCACCTACCTGGGGTCCCCCACTTCCATATAAACAGGCCCTTAAATACTAAAATAGAAGGTCTGCAAATTCACTAGTTGAGTACACTCCTCCCGGGAATTGAGTGTAGGCTTAAACCTTCTAATTAAAAATGCTTCATAAAGGCGTACATTAGCGGGGTCGGTTCGCCCATAATGATCTTTCACAGAGGAGTTTTCATTATTCAGATGTTCGTTTACGTGGTCGTGGACGAAGCGTGTCGTGTTACCAATGTGTTGCTGATCCCAGCTATTACACATGAGTTGGTACACTGCATTTCGTCGTAAACACAACCCGGTGTTAGAGATAGGGTATTTGTCTCTAGTGCATTTGTGTTCCGTGGAAGTGTGGGATAGGGCTCGTCTGAGAGTGTAGGATTACGGGCAATGCGTACCGCGATGTTTTCTTTTCTAATAATTTTAGTGATCCTGTAATTGAGTAGTTCAGAAACGTACGGAATCTTAAGGTATGATCATTCTGTGTTGGCAGGTTACAGCAGTTTAAGGCCTCACTAGAATAGTTTTATTATTATTTTTTTTTGTAATTACGCTGCTGAAGGACAACAAACATGAACAAATTATTGAAAAAAGGATAAAGATGATGGTTTCTAGTAACACTTCTATCTATTTAATCTACTTACAAGTAACTCGACTATTTAAATGGTATCATAAGTACTGATCCATTTCTACTTTGCTATTAACTATGTCAATACTGTGAGCTCCAGCTAAGCATATCTACGTAATCGGGGATAACCGTTATAGATTGTGGCTGTAGATGTAGATCACACCCAATGCACAGGCACGTTGTTTGAAAATTGCTCGATTACGTGATATCACGTATGGCCAACTCTCGTTATTGGACCGTAGGTTCAACTTTGGGCTTTGGCTTGGTTATGGTTTGTGTGATCTTCTACTTTGTAAGATAATATGCACTAAACTCACCGTGGACGGATTGACCTGGGGAGCCTGGGATCCATTAGTGACAGTGGAATTAGCTTGGGTAACTATGACTTTTTGGGGAGATGCTTTCCTCCTACTGTGCTGTTGTAGACTTGAACCTGTTCAAATAATAATAACCATTCTACCAGTCTTTGCATCACACGCAGAAATAATCAACTTAAAGGAATCTTAGAGGAGCAAAGACAGCATTACCTATTCATCCATGATTGTTTTTAGCCTTCCTATCTGATTGTTTTGTATTTTTGGGTGCGCCTTAAAACAGAAGGAGTCTTTAATTTCTCTCTCGTGCGTATTTTACGAACAGAAATTTGAAAAATATTCAGTAGCTTTTAATAGTTGAAATTTAATTTCAGATTGTTGCAAAACACGTTTCTAAGGTCTACAGGTCTCTAAGAAGAAAAGGGCAGAAATAGGCCCCATCAACCACGAGAACGAGACACATAAGGTCCTAATACTTGACCACGAATCTCTGTAAATGACAGTTGTGACTAGGACAACCTAAGAAATTGGGAGGGAACGGAAAAAAGCCCTAGGCACGAGGCTGTAATAGGAAATTTCTGCCCCATTCTCCTGGGGGCTACGCCGCTCATTTGGGCACTCGACAAACAAAACCGCCAGGTAGGCAGATTAGATGGATTGATAGATGGAAGAACTGAAACAATACATGTCAACAACAATTAGATGTATTATTATGTTCACAGCTGTATTGAGTACTCATTTATGGTACGTAAATATCTCATCACACTCGTACTACATTTTGTCGTTTCGTCGTAACTGAAAATAAATACAACAATAGGAACGCACTAAAGTGGATAACGTTTTTACTTTAAATGAGAGGAAAAGAAAACAACAGCCAAACCGAAATTAAGATAATGAAAAGGAACAATGACAAAACAAACTGTCTCTGTTTCCATATGCAGCTAAAAGGAACACGTCTTGGTTGAGATCGTTAAAATTTGCTATTGCTGGATTTACATCTCTTGAAACCCTAAAAACAATAGAGATTTAAAAAAATGTTTTAGATACAAGAAATAATATCATTTACTTAAAAATTCTTTCAAACGAATAACGCCGGTAAATTCAGAAATTATACACACAGGTAACAATCATATACATACCTGCATTTTATGATATTATTCTCGTCTGCCAGCTCGATAAACTCTATTGCTGCTGGTGTCTGGAATAAAGTTAAAATAAAGTCAAACATCTTTTTTAGTATAACGAAAACGTAAGTTACTGGATAGATCGCTCGGACGATTTTCCTAAAAAAGTACGTAAATAGGATATAGCACTGACAGAGCGAGAAACATCCAGTTGCCACCTGGGCCTGCTGGGACAATCCGGATTGACCTGCAGACGAGACGAGACGTAAATAGGATACGTCAGGAACAAACATACCCTATTTCACAACAACTATGATGGAATGTTCTGCTGCAATTTGTAACAACCGTCACACTTTATATTTCTTCATGAGCAATGATGATGATGATGATGATGATGATGATAATGATGATAATAATAATGATGATGACGATTATGATGATGATAATAACAATAATAATAATTGTGATAGTGATGATGATGATGATGACGGTGATGATGACGAAAATGCTTTTTATGATATATGCTGTATGTTTTTACGATAGCCAATGCTTTTTATGTATCGTAACGAGAAAATATATCAATGATTATTATGTTAGTCATATTGCGCTTTATCGGCTTATTCAGCGATTTGTTGATTATACTGTGATAAAACATGGCTACCCCCTTAACCAATTCTGGTTAACAGGATCCCGTGTTAGTAATTACATGTCGTGAGGGATAATGAGGTTAGACAGAAGAAGGAAGGAATGAGCCACGTCTCACTTTCATGGGCTCAAAATACCTTTGGAGCAAACTTAATTGGAAGTCACCCCTTAACGTTTTTTTATTTATTGTTACCATCTAGCCATTAACCAATCGATTTTTATTCTTTTTAGCAAGCTTGTTCGAACTTTCAGTAAATATTTTTCGACTTCCTTTCTCTCTAGATTCTTTGCAAAATTAAGCAAAAAGCATAAGGCGAAATTAAGTTAACCAATTTATATACTTACTGGATTTGTCCTTGAAGGTGTCGATCGTCCTGTTGCGTAATAATGACCACTAAGTGCTTGATCATTGACACACATAAGAATGTCGGTATTTGCCTATGGGATTTATGTATACAACAGTTAATTCTTTGACTTTATGCCCTGTCAATTTTTTTTGTGGATTCACCTCACCTATACAATCACTACATTAGAAGGTCTTGACTACTGCAAGGAGGAAGGTAAAAAAAAAGCATTTTAAAATAGGTTTGTGGCTTCGTAAGCTTAAAAATTTTATTAAACGTTCATGAAGAAAACATGGCCAAAATAATCAAATTCATGTTAAATCATAGAGTGTCTGTAAACCCAGATAAAGAGTTTATCCCATTTATTCTTGTTTTGGGGGCATTTTAGGTTAAGAAGAGACAAAAAGCAAACTCCGGTGATGAACACTAGGAAATATAAAAGCATTTCTGGAAAGAAATAAAACTTTAAGGTGACGTTTCGTATGTTCCGAAATACATCTTCAGAACTAATAAACCTTTGAATAACAACATAATTTTAAATGCAGAATAAGTAACTAATGGGCCATTTTACAGTTATGGATGGAAACGAGGCTGACGGTGACCTTGTTTTGATACAAATCTTCCTGCTTTATTATATAATTGCTAACCAGTATTGTTCAAGGACAATTTCGGTCCAAAACAAAGCAAAGGAGGTTTGTATCAAAACGAGGTCACCGTCAGCCTCACATTCACTCGAAGACTAGGGTACTAAGTCCACAACTGTAAAATGGTCAGTTACTATTAAAGCTTATTAAAGAAACAGTCGATGGCATATTGTAGAAAATTTTGCATATAAATAAAGCATGAAAACTAAAAAGGTAAAGTTTTTCACTGCTGACAGTGGATATTTCATTTGAGAAAGGTCGTAAATCCCTAATTCAGCAGAGTCTCATTTATCTTGCAATGGGTGCCCGACCGTCCTCTTGCCAAAATTTCGAAATGGTCCCATTTGACGTTGTGACCTGTTGACGTGACTATTGAGATAGTGCAGAAACTGATTTGCTGCGTTGTTAATTGTTTTCAAACAAGGTAAGAGTATCGTCAACCGAATCGGAACCAAATAGAAGGGCGAGTGTTGTTGCTGAGTACCCACTTCTCCTCAAGATACATAATTAGAGATGTTGGCTAAAACAGGACCTAAAGGGGAAGTCATTGCCACACCATCAAAAATGTCAACTTTACCTTTTAAAGTTGCACCAAGAACCATTTGATAATGGACCAAGAGCCATAACGGCTCTTGGCTTGCATGCTTTATTTTTATGCAAATTTTCCAACAATATGTCATCTGTCGTTTCTTTAATTAGGCCCCGTTCACATGTATTCGGATATTTTTGAAGCCGCAATTTTTTCCTCTAGGAATATTGGCAACAGAGCATGCGTCAAAAAGAGCGCGAAATTTGCAACCTGCTCAGCCTTGAAGGAACCTGGGAACGAGGTTGCCATCACCGGTTAAAAAATATTCGGATCTAGCGTCCGTTAGATTCCCGATTCATATCGTATTCAAAAATTTCCACTCAGGAGGGCGGATTCAAAAAGTTGCGGATTTGTCTGCCGGATTGGTCCGATGGTCGGTTGCTATGGCTTTTGCTCCCGCAACTCTCAAAACTGTACGTTACAGAACTAGAATTTAACAATGAAATTTAACGAAACTTAACACCTCTTGACCCTAAGGACATGGGGTTTTCACCAAAAATCATATAATTCTTTACGGAAAATTGATATAAAGTTTTTAATATTCCTTTATAACTAATGAGCACGTAACTCTTCTTCGATAAATTCTTCGATTAATTAAATTCGTTGCATTCTACGTCTATCTATGGCCTAAAATACTCAGGTTTGAAAGTTGCGGGAGCAAATGCCATAGCAACCGACCATTGTGATACGGAAAAAAAAGTTGTAGATTCAAAAATATCCTGATACGTGTGGATGGGTCCTTAGTTACTTATTCTACATTTAAGTTTCTGTTGATATTCAACGGCTTATTACTTCTGAAGATGTATGTTGGAACATACAAAACGTCAAGTTAAAGTTTTATTTCTTTGCAGAAATGAGTTTATATTTTCCTTTTGTTTCTCACCGCATTTTACTTTTTGTTTCTTCAATCTTATCCCAGTTACATGCTAGTTTTCCTCGTACTTGGCTTAACTCAAACACAAAGAAGTTACGGATAATACAAAATTAAGCTTAAGATTTGTTTCATATGCAAAAAATCGTTTGCGTCAATTATACACTTTTCTAGAGCTCGCCTTCGACTGAAGATATTTCTGCTGCTCATGTTTTATCTATATACTAACATTTTATCTATATACTAATTCCGACGATTGTTATTAATTTTTGGGAATATCACACGAATCGAACTTACAACTATAAACTGTTTCTTGTCAATTGCCCATTGTTAAATTTCATTATGCATTATGTTTTTATTAAGCATGTAAGTATGACGAATTCTCAAAGGCACAGCTCTCTAGAGAAACATCCCTTGCCGTACATTTGGAACTCGGAAAACAAAAACATAATACAAAAGTGCATTCTTGCGACATAATAACTTACCATTAATCGGTCATCACTGAAACCAACTGCTATCCAGTCTCCTTTCCCACTCAGCTCGAATTCAACATGAGTTGAATTTGTGGCATTGTAGGTCACCAGAAAATCACAATTTTCGCTTGACGTGCAGGAGGCTGGTGATGCATAGCAACCCTTAGTTTTTCCACAGCCTTCTGTAGTGAACTAGAGATGAAGCAGATTAATATAGATGTATAAATATCTTCGCTACTGGTACAATTAATCAGTGAACCCCCAAAGGAAGAAAAAATCACGTATACAAAAAGCACACAGAAACGAAGCAAGAAATGAAACTCCTTCGGGAAAAACTCTGACCAACATTTCTAAAGAGACTAGGTTAGCTTGGGCACTTGTGCTGTAATAAAGCGAACCGATGGAACAGGAGAACCCTTGGAACAAAGTCAAGCGTAGACGGATAGACTTACATGGATAACCACAAAATTAAGGTCAAAAAATCAATTATTGTCATATGTAAGGCTTTCGCTGTCAGCTAAACTGTAGCATTCAGAGCACATTATTTCAAAACTATTTAATTTGTCTACCACGGGGCACTATACCTAGCTGTCATTAGCGCCAGGAACCTGTTTCAGTAGAGTAGATGAGCAGAAAAATACGAATTACAAACATCAGCCCACTGATAAAAAAAAGGACTATCATTACCATTTCCCAGTTATTCAGTCCTTGGGTAGATGAATCAGCAGCTCTATGTCATTTAACCATAACGAAAGAACACAAAAAGAACATCGAGTTTACCAACCGTTAGAGCACAAAGCTTGCTTGACAACGAAAGTAGCAGGATAGATGACAATAAATTCTAAAAAAAAAATTGTAGAAAGTTAAAAATGTGTCAGTAAAATTCTATCTTGCCCTCCAACCTCTTCCACTCTGTATTCTAGTTTTTTTTCTGTTTTGTTTTGTTTTTGTTTTTCTTTTGTTTTTGTTTTGTGTTTTGTTTGTTTGTTTTGTTTGTTTGTTTTTTATGGAGAAATGATACCAGCGTCATCTTTGCTGAACTTAATAAGCCCCTTCTCTCTATTAAGGCCCCGCACCCCCCCCCCCCCCCCCCCCCCCTCCTCGACCCCCCCCCTCCCAAATCGCTCGAAAGCGCGCTACTGCGTTGATCAATGCTGCAGCTTCTCATGACTAGACTTCCTGCAAAATACCACTTTCCACATTGACAACGCACCATGGAACACATTTTTTTTTTTTTTTTTTTTTTTTTTTTTTTTTTTTTTTTTTTTTTTTTTTTTTTTTTTTTTTTTTTTTTTTTTTGGGGAATGGTTACCAGGGTCTTCTTTTTTGAATTTAAAAACCCCCTCCCCCTTTTAAAGGCCCCCCCCCCCCCCTCTCGTCAAATGTTCACATGTCACATGTGTTTGAAATAAATAAGGCCGCCGGAGGCTTAATAGTGGATTTACGGTACAAACAATAAATTGATCAAACCAGAAGTACTAATGTCGTTTTCTTCCTTGAAAATCATGCTCAGCACTGATCACTACCATAAACCTCCACCAAACCAGTAAGGTTAGAGAGAGTAGCACTCTAGCTAGGAGTCTTGTAGATGGAACTCTTAAAGGGACAGGTTCACGGCTAAGCGCATGCTCATTAATTACATTACTATTTTCCAATTTATTATTAATTCTATCGATTAACAATCCCACTCACGTGTATCTCAGTATAAGTGTATTTCAGAGTAACCTGAAGTAGGATGGAGGAGTACTAAAATCGCAGAAAAAAATTAGTGGATTATGCCAATACTACCAACGTTGAATTTATTGTTGGCCCGAAGGTTTTATTCCATGGTTGATTAATTTACAGCTATTTGCAAATATTTAAGTTGATCAAGTGCAAGTGGCTGCCAAGGGAGTGTGCGGATTGGTTCTTTGACAACATTATGATATGATCATATTACTCGCATAGACGATACAGTATGTTCCGGCAGAGAAACAGCATTTTAATAAATGAGCATGCGCTGAGCCCTGAACCTGTCCCTTTAAAGTTACACTACAAATTGCATAGATAATTCAATATCTACAAAGCAGCATTAAGACACAATCTAAGCCTTGCGGAGGTGATTGTTAAAAGTAAATGTGCCTCGATTCAACACTTATTGGATAAGACCTTAGCGCGTGGTTAGAGTTTTGTCGTCACAGAGAAAGGCACGACAATTTTTAGTTTTTAACCTGTGCACATTGTTTTGTTTTTAATTTTCTAATAGTCATATCCTCAGGCGTTGCGGTTTTTTCAGGACTTTTTGTCTTGTATAATTTACTGCACTTTTCACAAACATGCGAACTCTAAAGTTTAAAAGGTGCCTTCACAGTTGCGTTTTTCGCTGCCGTCAATCATAATTACGATCACAAGCAACGAACCTTGAAACATAGAAACACACAAAACGGATCGAAATCCACCAATCACAAATCACAAACCATGACCTTTTGAACCCCTCAAAGTAAAGTTGTATTGCCTAAGAGGTCCGTTAAGATGATTGACGGCAGCGAAAAACGCAATCGTCAGTTGGCTTTTGAACTTCAGAATTCGCATGTTTGTGAAAAGCACAGTAAGGTCTTGCATTGTTTTGTCTTGCACTTCATTGAATTGCATTGTATTATATTATAATGTAACATCAAATTTTCAAAATAAGAAGCAGTCAACTCTTAAAATAGCTATTAAATATAGGATAATGCCCTCGCTCCTTGGCCTTCTTTAAAATAATGACCGAGCGCGCAGCATTGTTTTAGAACCATCAGGCCATTATTGTGGCCTCTGAAATGGAGCAGTAGGTTATTATTCGTCATAATAACCTCCTGGTCCATGTCGGTAACCTGCCCTTCCATTTATTGAAAATAAGAACCTGTTCAAAACAATGGAAATGTGCATTAAAATATGTGCATGTATTCATATATTTTTTGTTAAATCAGTTGAGGATCGAGTATATACTGATGTACAAGAATTATTAGTGCGTGATCATTCAAAGTAACAACTTTGTCAAACCAGAAACCCATAAGGGGTTGAAACGTGTAACTCGCGTTCAATGCTCGTGAATCTTCGTTTTGACCATATTTGGAAACCTTAGTGACGGATACCCATTTTCAACAAAATGGCTACTGCGCGATCACCATGCAGATGTTTTAAGACAAGAGTTCTGCATTTCAAGGTTAAAAATACACCGTTAAAAGACAAAAAATGGAAAGAGAACGTTCAAAAGAATGCTCAGCTTTCTTTTTGTGGAGAAAGGGAAGCTTTTCATCAAGAAATCGTCCTTCGAGGAATTCAACCTTGTTTTCTTTACGGCGGAGCCCATGGTCTGTTTTGAAATGCAACCAAGTCAGCGAAGTTCTTGCTGAATTTTCAGGTACATTTTGCACTCTATGGCCAAGACAATTACGTTTTTGAAAGGGAATTTATGTATTTTTAAATGTTTCATAGACGTTTTATAAATTTTTCTCTTCGGCGCTAAAGAAAAATTATAAAATGTGCCCCGATTAATTGAGATGGATTTTGAGTTGAATTTTGCCATGTGCTTAGCCGATTTCACTTGCGTGAACGGATCCACGATCCAGATAGTGTTTTCCGAATTGCTTTAAAGGATTAACTTTTTGGACTTTGAATAAAAATTTTCAAGAAACGGCTTCTCTGTCTATTGTTTTGAGTTTGTTCATTCATAAAATTAGCTCAAACACGATCGTGACTACAACATCTAAGTTTAATTTAAGCTTTTAAAATGCTTCTCACATTCATTACAAGCATCACTTTTTGCGAAGATGTCAGGTTCAGGTTTTGGACACTTTTCGATAAGCAGCTAATGAATTTTATTCGAAAATATTTTTCACTGTTTATTCTTGACTTTTAACATAAGAATTTTAAAAGCCTATTTGCAGTATAAGTTTACTGTGCAGAGGGTCAACGAGGCATCGTATTTTGAAGTGACAACTTCAAGAAGTTGCGAGGCCGTCAATAGGTTTCATAATGTTACGTTTGGCCCGGGTGGTAAGGCAATAATATCCTGCTCAGTGTTTCAGTAATATTCCTGGTTTTAACCTTTGAAAGCTTTCTCGGCTTTCGGGAGTTTTTCTCCCGTTTGTCGGCCATTTTTTTAAGCGGGCGCGGGAACCTGAAGGAAAATTACGTCACGTTGTTTACGAAGTTTGATTGGTCAGTTATCTCTTCTTCTCGTTCCAAATATGGTACTTTCTAAAATGAATAATCACGAGCATCGGACAAAGCAAACATATGAGAGTTACACGTTTCAACCCCTTATGAGTTTCTGGTCAAACTCAATAAAATTTTAGTAAGAAGTAATTAAAAATAAATCTGTCTCCGAGTGTAAAGCCATGTCGCTCGAGAGCAGTTTATAAGTAGTAACAATTAAAAACGTAGCCAGTTGCAATGCCACTTGTTTTGTTACCGCATCATGATCACCCGGACAGATCTTGAAGTATCGACTTTGTTGTTAAGTTTTTCTTCCCGGTCAAAACAACGGTATCGCTGCCAATATGGAAGCGAAACGAAGCTGGAGAAAGCTTGAGAGAGAACTGAATCCCTACAGTAGTCTTTGTTTGCGTGGCTTTACGCATTAGTGGGCTAATAAGTATTAACGAATAGAAAACACTGACCAAAAAATTGGAATTAACATTTTCCAAAATAATTAATATATAGATTTAGCCAGGGCTAAAAGCGAAGCTCTCGATAATATTTATAGTTCGGTTCAAACAAAATATAAAATCAAGTAATGCTAAGCGGCGACGGCAACGCCGGAGAACGGTAAAAAAACAACAATAGGTCTAATTAGCAAAAAAGCAACTTCACAATTTTTTTGGACATTTCTTTGCCGTTGTTTTGCACGACTACAAAGTGAAACTTCCAGAAACTTCTTAGATACACTTTTAATGGAGGAAACGTCGTACGTGTTCTCGTTCACTTTTTTTCACTGCCGCTCATTTTCACCTTACATTTGATTAGTGGCCGCTAGCATTTCTCATTTTGTCACCGCCGCTACAAAATTTTCGTGTTGTTCTTCTAACAAAAGAAATGTCCCATTTTTTATCTCTTCAGTTTTTCATTAATTAACTTAGCTAGTCAGGGTTTTGCGGTTCGATTTTGTTGGTAAAGCTTTCCCTCTATTTATCTTGTTGTCACATTATTAATTTAATATGGGAGTTGTCCTTTGTTTACCATTAACGACGTTTTCACTTTTGATTTTTTTAGCTTCAAAGAACCAAGTAACTTAAAAGTCACTACGTAAAAGTGTGTTCCTTTTACTGAACTTTGCTTAGTTTAAGTTTCCTTCTCTTGTTATCCCCCTTCAGAACCGAAGAAATGCTTTTTAAAGGAATTTTGCGTAACAAGTTGATATATGTTAATACGAACATAAATACATTGTCAAAGTAAACACATGGTCAAGGACCAAACAAATAAATGGCGAGATGCGAAGGAGTAGATTTTAGAGAGAAAGAAACAAAGTGAACTACCTAAGAACAAGGCTTAGTTGAAGAAAGACGTCGTTAGAAAGAAGTTGTGAAGCGACATAGAAGAACTGTAAAGTGGAAGAGTAAGTCACTCTGTGATAAAGTATTTGACGTAAAGCTTGAATTATTTGGTGGTCGGAGAGTCCTTTCGTTTGCAACAAGCGAATTAGTCCCGTATGAATGTAACAAGATCGTGTCTGGCCTTAAGTGTGGCTAAGCTTACGACTGAATAAATACTGCAGTTTTGGCGAAGGGAATACTAAATGACGGCTATAAAACCGACGGTATATAGGCAGCGTTAAATAGCTCTTTCTCTTCTCTTACCTTTGCTGATGTCAGCACCATA